AAGATCTGATGCATGAAGTTGATCACAGTATTAGTGGAGATCATGAAGAGACATGCAAGCAGTGTCTAGACAGAAAAGCATTATTCATTTGAGCCTCCATCTGTGTGCTCAGAAATAACAGGTAAGTTCTTCAGTGATACGCTGAAAAAATGATAACATTAATGATGGTCCTAACCAATCTGAGTTGTGCATGTAGGCCATCATGTGAGATCAGCATGAATGCAGAACTAGTTGCAGATGCAGTTTGGGTTGATTCACACTGGTATATTGTTGTACAGTGAGCCACTTTCAGTCTAACTGGCTAACTATTGAGTAACTTACGGACTTTGCACTGCAGAGTTCATTTAAAGATATCTATTGGCAAACAAGGCAAGGGATTGTATCCAAGTCTGGATTTATTTATTTTAAATACATTAATGATTGTTCTGTTAAATTTTATTAACTGTCTGCCTGCAGAAATCTAATTTCAAATTAGGCAGGATTTATTGAGTGGAATATGTAACTTAGTCTGTCAATACCCCAGTCACTGTGATCTTTTTTTTTCTCTATTTTATTCACAACTCAAGAGGAAAAAACCCATCTTTCCAGCATGCATGTGATTTTGGTAAAATGATAATGTATAGATTTGTGAGCAAGGCAGAAGATTTTGATATAAGCCACAGAAAGCAACAAGTCTTTTTCTACATACATAATTGTCTTGTCATTTTTGTCATCTTCTTGGCTTCAGTGATTTGTCTGTGTTCTTATTCCCAGGATTTTTTAAAAGTTGTAACAACTAAACCTCATAATCTTGAATCAGATTCTAATACTTATACAAGATCGGAGTTTTCAAGCAGAACTTGAAAGCCATGAAGCCATGAAACACAAACACCAGAAACTCTGGTCTTCTGAAGTTTTAGATATTCTTAACTACAATCTCGTAAAAAGCTGGATTTATTAAGCTGGAATGCAGCCTTCAGGCAAACAAACAGAAAATTAAGCATAGAGGTTACTACTGTTTTTGCTCCAAGTTTAAGATTTTGATGATTTCCAAAGTCTAATAGTGAAAACAATACTGCATTGCTAAATAAAATCTTATTTAGAAGGTCCTTTCCCTCTAAAGGAAAAGGTCACCTAGCTGCTGCAGGGACACTGCTCTCATCAACTAAAGGGACAAATTGTGTGTCCTCAGAAGAATCTCTGTGATGCTGAAATTGTAGCAATGTACACACTCTAAAAGGGATAAACTTGGCAAATCAAATTCTGCCTCAGATTTCAACAATGTATTTTACAGGTAGTTGCTTACTTTATCTTTGATTTCAAAAACAGAAGGAAGATTAAAGAAGGTGTTGTTTGAAACAGAGAACAATATAGCACATATCTTGACATCCTGTTGAAATTGGATTAAAGTTGTTTAAAAATATTTCAGGTGAATGAACCTAGTGCTTAGGGCAAATAAGTTACACTAAGATATGTAAAAAGAAATTTCATCCATAAACATGGCACTATATTTGATAGTGTTTGTGTAAAAATTTATTACTTTAGATCTCATGGAAAGTACAGCCCTTCTGTAAAGTTAACAAAATGGGTGGAAATGTAGTGGCCAAATGCCAAATAACATGCACTACAATAATATAGTTCTAAAGCTAAAAAAAGTTTTATATAAATCAGAATTTGTGTTTCAGAAAATTTTTGTAGCCCTTGTTTGAATGTTTCTTCTTTCATCAGTGAGAATCCATTATAATTCATCTATGTCCTGAGTGGGTAGTTGAATTGTCCTTCAGGTGACTTGTTTGTATAACCAGTTTGTACTCTGAAACTTGAGTTGCTGAATGAGAAGTGTTTAGTAAGGATCCTACAGTCAAATAATTAATTTTGATACCTGTAGCTTTAAGGCAATACAGAATAAACACTGTTTAGATGCAATGTTCTTGAATTGTTTGAAAAGAGCACTCCTTTAGCTCTGTGCTGCACAAATGACAATGGATTTCCTCTTGCTCTTTTTTTGTTCTGTAGTGTAACGTTATTTAAAAAACAAAAGGTTCAGTTGCATTTAGGTCAGTTATTAAAATACTGTTGGTCATTTCCTTTGACAGAACATTTCTATTGTGTTATACCAATGTCATTAGGAGGAAAGGTTATTCCCACTTGTCTGGCTGATATCAATACATACTGGCATATTACATCCTCTGGCTTTCTGGAAATGTTTTATTTGAGCAGCAGCTTGGGAACAGGAAATTTAAGGTTATATGCAGTCTGGTTTCAGACTGAATGGTAGAAAATGTGTTTCCTAGAAGATGCTGTCTACTTGTCAGATTTTCTCTAGTATTTTGTAGAATTGGATAAGCTTAAATAGGTTCAAGTTGTAAACAAATTTTTACCAGCTGTATGTAGCAGACAAGGAAGAACAAGGTTTTCAGTCACTCTGTAGTATTTTAAGAACTTATATAAATTGCATTAAAATATCACCAATTGACCAATTCCTCTGGAATGTAGCTTACATTTTCAGATATGGCTGTGATAATATTACCAGTTTGTAAGTGTTCCTAGGAGAGAAAACAGTACTTTTACATTGAGCCGTGGTCAAATGTGAAGTCTATGATACTGGAGTAACTTTTAAAGGTAGAGGTTCAAGAAGAGCATTTTAGCCATGCAGAGCAGCCCTTTCAACCAGAATCAGAGTGAGCAGGAAAATAGGAATACAGTTCAATCCTGTAGCTAGCTGTTCATGCATGTAGAACACAGCAATACATACTTCCCATTGCTTTCACTGACAAATTAGACTGGTATGTTTCAAGTGATGATGCTGAAAATTACAAATTCATTTTGGTATGATCTTAATATATATTAAGTGGGAAAAAAGAATAAAGTTGTGGAAAGATAAACACTTGAAATATTGAGCCATTTAACACATATACTTAAGTCTGTACAAAACTATTCCATAGGGACATATCTAAAGTCGTCAGAAATAATAAAAGTTATAACCCTTTCTAATGGAAATAGCCATCTTAATTAGAGATAAGGCTACAAGTAAATTTCATTGTAGAGCTGCAGCATGGTGCCTGGTAACTGATTAAGCTTTCTATCTGCCTTTGCTGGGTATCAGGGATATCAGAAGATAAAATTTATACACAAACTCCTTTCTTTCAGGCCAGAGCTGTGGATCTCACCTTGCTAAGATCCTGTTTCAGTTTGAGCTTTTTGTAAACCTCTTCATAAAGCTAAAACTAGCTGAGATTGGAAGGAGCCTTTAGATAGAGATCATTAGCCCAGCTGCCCTGCCTGGGCAGGATCAGATAGATCAAGGTGTCCAGGTCCTTGTCCAGTCAGGTTTTGATTATCTCTAAGGACAGAGACTCAACAACTTCTCTGTGCAACTCATTCAGTTGTGTTTATTACTTGTATTTATTACTTTTGGTGTTACACAAAATATGGATTTGTTTATGAAATATCTGCAACTTACAGGAAGAAGTAGCACGGTATCTAACTACATTGAATACAAATATGGAGAAGAAATTTTATGAAGCTACTGTATTATATCATCACTTAGTTGTAAAATACAGATGTCTGTGCTAGTTCTGGGTTTCTTAATGTTAACTGTACAATTCATACAATTTAAAATTCTGTTGCAGCTAGTTTATTGCCAAATATCTGTGTGATATAGGCCTTCTAGTACCTTAATGGGCCCTCAAGAGAGCTGGAAGGGGAGTTTTTATAACAACATAGAGTGGTGGGAGAAAGGGTAATGGCTTTAAATTGAAATAGGGTAAATTAAAATCAGATATGAGGAAGAAATTACTTACTGTGAGGGTGGTGAGGCACTGGAATAGGTTGCACAGGGAAGCTGTTGCAACGCTGTCCTTGGAAGTGTCGAAGGCCAAGTTAGAAGGTGCTTTGAGCACCCTGATCTAGTGGAAGGTGTCCCACTCCTGAACTACATGATCTTTATGGGTCATACCAACCCAAACCATTCCATGATTCTATGACATGCAGATTGATTTTGCTTATACTCAAAGCTCACCAAAAGCCACATGATTGTGTTAACATGCTCTGAGGTTGTATCAAGAAAAACACTTGAAGATTGAAGTGCAAAGCATATGAGTACCTAGGTACATTCAATCAGTGCTGTCTCATGCCTAACAGCATGGACTACAGGATGAGTCCTCCTTTGCTTTTCACATAGGTCCTTTTTTGGTCAACTAGTTGTAGGCATGTAACATTGGTCACATTAGGTATGGTTTGTAACACCAAATGCTTCCTGGATAAAATTAACTGTGCACAGAAGACTGATCTAAGCCCATATAGGAGTGGTAACATCACTACTGTGCAACTGACATAGTTCTCTTAATTGTATTATCATTTTTATTTCTGTTAGCTATTTCTTGAAATACAGTGAACCTGTAATAAAAATTTCTGCCAGGTGTATTAAAAAGACTTCTGTGTACGGATGACATTTGTGTTAAGGGGATGAGTCAAGGTAATTCAAGCGAAGAGGCAGTTAAAGTGAAATAAATCACAAAGTTGAGGCAAGAGAAGAGAGCCCATTTGCTCTGCCACTGGTAATATAGCCACTGTTTGAGATAATGAAGCATCATCTGTAGTTGGTGTTAATTTGCCATATTCACCTGCTTGACTGCTTTTTGAATCAGTTACTGTGCAAGGTTGTACTTACCTAATCCTTGTTGCATATCAGTTTTAATGTAATTCAAACTTTTCCAGTTCTCAGGTGAAACAGCATAATTTTAGGAAAGAATAGAATGGTAATTTGGGCCTATATAAGCCTGGTAGTAGCCCTTTTATCAGTTTTCTAGTAGGTCTTCTATTTGAAAATATGCTTCTGCTGTTTAACCTGGCTTTCGTCTAAAGCATTGTAGAACCTTTGTATTTTAATGTTGTGGTTTAGCTTTGTCACAAGAGTTCCACATGCATACGTGCCTCTGGGCATCAGTATATGGAAGGGGGGATTGCTTGTCTTCTACTGCTGTAAACACTTTTGGGTTTTGTTTTTTTCTAATCAACAGAATTTAGCTTCCTGGAATCCTTCAAACCCTGAATGCCTCCTGCTTGTTGTGAAAGAGCTTGTGCAGCAGTATCACCAATTTCAGTGCAGCCGATTACGGGAGAGCTCTCGCCTCATGTTTGAGTATCAGACTTTACTTGAAGAGCCCCAGTATGGAGAAAACATGGAAATCTATGCTGGCAAAAAAAACAACTGGGTAAGTTCTTATTTCATCTAAAATGCTTTTAACAAATACAACTCTTGCTTCAGAAAACTTAAGTTCTTCCTGTGGATCTCCAATGCTTTCTGTTTCTGACGGAGAAGTCATATTTGACTTCAGCTCATTTTCTATACTCCCTGTTTGGGATACTGCTCTATTCCAGCCATTACATGGGTTTAACCAGATTTCCAGGTGCAAACTGGTTTTGAACCTGGTGTTCATTTGTCTGGTTTATAGGTGAAAACTTTGAAACTGTTGAAAAGCCTGTGCTGTGTTTAGAGTGCACAGTACAACATAAATGTGGACGTTCAAGTTAGCTTTGAAGATTTGCGAGGCAGAATAACAGTGTTGGTATGACACTCTGCCAGCCTACCAGCCTGCTTAGAGGTAGGATGTATTAGGGTGTGTTTCCAGATTATGATTGAGTTGATTTAATTGGTAGCTGTCAGTATCTCTCTTGCATTTGTCTAATCTGAAATAAGTTGTTCTGGGAGGGGAAAGGAAAAACTGGAGAGGAAAAACTAAACCAACTAATTTTCTGCAAGAGCAGGCAAGATGGGCTAGAGCAGTAACCATGCTTTCATATGAAAGTCAGACATTAAACTAGCTTATCTGTTTCCTGAAGTTATGTCACAGGTTCCTACATGGGAAATGTGCCATTTTGTATAGAAACACTCTGTGTATACTATTTGCAAGATGTGGCCATTGGCAATGTAGACATTTTGGTTACTGTGTAAATTGACTGTTTTTTTTAAATCAATCTCTGCCACAGAGTAAGCTTTGGAAAAATCAGGGCTTTTTTCTGCTGGTCATATATTTTTATTCAGAAGTTTGGAGTAAGATATGTCAAGAAATACATAATGGTGTTTATGATGGAATTGTTGCCCTCTTGCTTTCAGAAATAGCATACTATTAAGATAAACTGACCTTCAGAAACTGTATCTTCTAAAACAGTTGCAGTCTGAAAATGGATGAAAATTCAGCACTCCTATCAAGGTCCAGGATTCAGCATTATATCACTTCAATTATCCATAAGTTATTAAGGTGATTCAAGGATGTTTACTTTACAACTCACACATTCATCTTGGGTTTTTTTTTCCTTAGGCAAGTCATCTAGGTTTGTTTTTTTTTATTTGAACCCAGATTTAATTTTCTTCATCAAAGAAATTCAGACCTCTTTTATGTTTATAGATCAGAATATTTGATTGAAATTAACTTAATCACAGATGTTCTTGTCCATAGCTTGCATCCTAAACAACCTACTATATTTCTAAATTTAATCAGACTAGTTTACTGAAGTGCAGAAGGCTTTCTGAACTGTTCTGAAATTTCATCCAGTCTTTTCTCAGTCTTTGGTGACTGAATAGAGAACTTTCTTTTCTTTCATTTTAAATGCTGTTTTAATTTAAAACATTCAAATAAAATAAATTTTAAATACATTTTGAGTAAAATCCTTTTCATGTAGCAGAGCTATAGATTTTTCCATAGTGTGTGCTTTTTTCTTTATTCTCTGTCAAGAAGACTCTTGACAGTTTTGAAGATTCTGTGAGCTTGGTATATGTGACAGAGGCTTGTTCACTAGTGTCCTAAAACAAAACTTTGAAACTGCCTTGTGTAGTTCTCTTTACTGTCCTTTACAACTGTTTTGTTAGTCTCAAGGATCAGCAAAATAGGACTGTTTTTCCAGAAAGCAGGAGGTAAATGGCCTTTTATCTTCTCTGACTAGAAGTCATTGAAATTCATATTGCTGCTGTCTCTCAGGAATCAATTCAGCAGTAGTAGTAATTCAGCAGATTTCTGAGATAATCAAGTATGAGCCTTGCACAGTGTTATAAAAGCAATCATCTTAGGTGCATGAGTTAAAAATACTTTTAAGAGAATGCCTGAATTCATCACTCTGACCCAAAATGAAACAGAAATTTGCTCTTATACCTTTGTTCCACTGCCTCTAGTTTCCTAAAGTGCAAGTCTCCAAGATATATGACAAATCAGCAAAATGTTATCTAGCTTAGTGGCTTCTTGTTGGAGGAATATTGGCAGACGCAGGAGCCCATTAAATACCCAATTGCTCAGGGCTGTGGCCAGAAATTCATCTGTCTTGACCTGATGCCTGCATCCAGCTGGTTCAGGCAGGGGAGATGAGCACCATGGACAGGGGCTGCTCCCTGTGCAGCCAGAATGCCTTTGGAAGTCCTAGTTTGCAAAATTATCTTTATTGAATTATATGAAAGATCTGGAATTTTTGGAGCAGCTGATTATCAGAGCAGCATTGATCAGAGGTAATTCATGTGTTCAGTGGCTATCCCACTTCATCAGACTTGGTATTATACCAAAAATAATTTTCTGGATTTTATGGCAAATGTTGTATGGCATTTTTTGAAAGTCCAGAGGAGAAGCACTGTTTGTAATATTCATTTCAATCCAGATAAGAAGTGAGGACCCTGACCATCATCATAGCAGTTTTCATGTTATATATGCAGAAGAAGTTGTTGATTTTTCTGCATACATCAGTAATGCAGCATCAGGAAGTTGGTACTTCTCCTCACAAGTGGTGTTATTAGGAAAGGTTTCACAGGTAGATTTCAATGTACACTACCTTTTTGTTGCATAGTTGTTTGTATGAGCAATTTCTTTGCATATCTTTTGTGACTACCAGTGCCAAATTTTGAGGGCAATTCTTAGCTAGCTGGCATAAGGGTGAATTACAGCCCAACATCACACAAACCCTTCTGGCAAATGATATAACTTGAAAGGTACCATTGGGAGCATTTCAGTTCCATTCTGGATCTTGTTTTCTCTTGTTTAGTGACTTAAAGGTAGAATGAGTTATCTCTAGTTCATATCTGGTAGATAGACCCAGAATCAGATTGGCACTGACAAATTGGTTAGCTTGTCTCAAATTATCCCACTTTTTATAATTAATTGCATAAAACTGATGTTTAACACTTTCTTTACTGGTAATTCAACCTACCAAACAAATATAGCTGCTATGTAGCTACTATATTGAACTAAAAAAACAGAGATAACAATTAACATGGAGGAAATCAGGCAGGTATTTGTTTTTAAAAACCAGTTAACTTCATTACTTTATAACCAGGTGGACAAAGTCTGGTTTTAAGGAAGTGTATGAAACAGAGAGGAAATCCTTTCCATTTCCTTCACATACCCTTTATACGTAAAAAAGAGCAATGTGTATGGGACACTTGGCAAATTTTCAGTAAACGGTTGTCTAGATGTTTAGAGTTACATAATTCTGAAGACAAATTAAGAACCTTCTACTTAAACTCTTTTTCTCTAACTTTATTCAGAGGACACTTTTGATATGTGCTCATCTTTTGAAACACAAATTCTCTTACATATATCTGCAGTGTTTGTAAAAATGCTTCTGTTTTATATATGTTTTCTCATCAATTTGTCAAGTTTTTAGCTTTGCTTTCAGGCTCTTTGCAGCTCTCGCCAGACCTTCGTCCGGAAATGAGTGCGGCCAAGATACATCTATATTTAGGGTGTAACAAAATATAGTCTGATTTTTTGTCATGAACATTGTTTTATTCTAACTACTTTTTGCTCTTGACTTACTGGCAATGAGGGTTAATGTTTTTTAAGGTGTTTTTTCATGTGACACCTGTGAAAGCTATAATTTCTTTTTCTCCCCTCCAGTACTTCTATTCAGCAATTTTGTTTTAAATCTCATCCCTTCTCTTTGTTATGAGCTCTTACATGCTTTTCTGGATAATATTTGGTCTTCAGAATGTTTGTGGTTCTCCTTTAGCTACCAGGTCTCATTAATGTTACCTTTTTTCCACAGACTGGAGAATTCTCGGCTCGCTTCCTCTTGAAGTTGCCTGTTGATTTCAGCAATATTCCTACATACCTTCTCAAGGTAAAGTCACTGTCTGATTTGACAGTATTTGTGAGAGAGGATGAATTATTGCAATGTCTTTAGTAATTGGTTTGATTTTCCTGCCTTCCTGCTCTCCAAGAGTTTGAAAGTTCACCATTTCTAAATCTGATTGTATTATGTTTTGGAAAGGTGATGTTGGGCATGCTGTTTTGTGTGCTACTTTAGTGACATCTTTTATATGAGTCTCTGGAATTTCATGACATGTCAGTGTTGGAATTTTTAATGAACAGTCTCCATTGTACCAATAGTCTTGACAGTAGAAGCAGAAAAGCAAATTAAATATACCATTTCTTAACAAGCAAATTCTGGTTACTTGAACTGAAAGTTTCAGTGATTATTTTACTCATTGTTCACAATGAACAGAAATTTGACCAGATACTTTTGAAAGTAGTACTGTATTTTTGCAAGTTGGGATAAAAAAGCATTTATTTCTTTGCTAAGAGGAGAAATAAAAACAGAAAAAGCAATTTGTGACAAACTACCACCATGGAAGAGATTGAAATTAGTGGGTTTTACAGCACAGGGACAGTCTCTCTTTAAAGCAGCTACTGTGGAAGCCCATCATAAGGTCAATGTTAGTATATTTAGAGAATGCAGTGAGAGATCCAGTGTTTTTGTCTTATCATGACTGTCAGAATGAAGCGTCAGAACTTACACTGCAGACAAGGTTTGAGTCAGTTGATGTTGCCAAGATTCATCTTTCCTTTAAACCGTTTGTCTGCCTTCTTTTGAATATTTGTAAAGAGGAACAGCTACTTAATCTTTAAAAACTAATGTGTTGAGATGAAATTGTCAACACGGATTCTATTACCTCCTCTTCGTTTTATTGTTAGGACTGTCTTCAACTATTGTTAAATCACAGTTGCAAGTGTGAGTCTTCAGTGTTTCACCAAATAAGATGTCTCAAGCTACAAACCATGAAAGGCAGGCAAACTATAATCTTGACTGAAATTTTTGGTTGCAGTTTGAGACTGGAATCTTATGATCTTTGTAGCTTCTGTAGATTTTTCTGTTTGAGTAATGAGCTGCTTCTCAAAAGTATACAGATACTTTCAATAGCAGCTCTTTCTCCCAGCTGCTGTCTTCCACTGGACTTTTTCTTCTCACTTGATGGGTATGTTTCTGATCAGAGGTAAGAGGGTTGGCTAAGGCCTTTTCTGGAATGTTGGTGTTAAGCACAACACAGCAACAGTTTACCTAGACTGCAGGCTATCTGTGATTTGCTTCTGAAAGACTCTGAGGAAAAAAAAGACTGAGAATGTATAATATTCTGCCCTAACTCCCAAGTGCTGTATTTTTCAGGAACAATTTTAAATGAGTCAAGAGTTTCAGGACAAGTGCAGAAGGAATATGTCCAATAACTTCAGTTGCAGGGCTGTCTTGTACCTCTCAGTTTCCCAGGAATGGAGTTTCTGGAAAACCTTTCAGGTTGGAAGGTGGCATATGACTTACATACCTGTCATCATGTAGGAACACCGTGATGGAATCTGCAGTTGTTTCTGAAGAGTAACATTTTAATGCATGACAGCATATCCTCCCAACTGTGATTGCCAATCATGTTCACTAAAAATCTTCTCTAAACAAGGTTTGTATACTGTGGGTAAATCGTTAGTGCTCCACAAGGCTCCTCCTGGAGCTTTGTTCATCCTGAGTACTGAGTAATTCATTAGTCTGAAGGAAAGCATATGATTATTTTGCATGCATATGTAGTGTGAGGTGAAGAGACACACAGAGCAGGTAGCAGAATCAAAGTTTCCCAATCTGCCTTTATTTTGATATTTCAGAAATCTTAATGTCTTAGCTTTGGGGTTGTAAAATTAATGTGTTTTTGTATGTTATAGCCTGGATTTTTACAGCAGCAGATCCTTCTTGATGAGCAATGTACTAGTGAAATCCTCAGTTTTCTTGATCAGGCTGCTACAGTTCAAGCTGGCAACTGTAGTAGGAAAGTGACATGTAGTCTGGCTGAGTAGCCACAGGAGAAGAAATATTGCTTTATTCCAGAAGTATTTGTTGACAGTAGAAAAATGGCTTGATTTAGTCTCCAGCATGGCTTATGACAGAGTGTGCTGTGTAGCAGGCAGGATCTTACACCCTTCTGCCTTTGGCTTCCTGTATGTACTCTGAGCTAGAAGAATGTCATCTCTTGTAACAGCAACATAAACATCATAAAAGCAGGTAGAATCAGAACTACTCTGTTGTGATTTAAGTAATTGTAATCTGACTACTCCAAATTAGTAAAAGACCTATTAAACAAAAAAGATTTTTTTTTTAAGTTGTCCATGTGTTTTTCATGGATGAGACTTTTGATATAAATAGACCCTTAATGTACTGCATTAAAATAGTTTATTTCCATCATGGCTGCTAGTTATGCTGGTTTCAATGCTACCTGCTGGATTGTGGTACAAGGTTAATAAAGCGTTTATTGATGCAGTGGAAATAATTGTTAATATATTACTCTGAAAGGTGGAAGAGCAATCAGTAATTGAAGGCTGTTAGTGTATTAACAGCTTAATGTTTTACTGCAGAATTTAATGTGATTGAATTGCATTCTAGTCTGTAGCCAATCTTATAGTGTAATATAGTAGCTTCTCTGTAATGATTTGCAAAGTTCAAACATGTTATGCTTTCTCTGACATCTTCTTTTTTATATTTAATTAATACTACTTGTATTAAAATCTGGTGAAATATTAAAGACCATTATTTTTGCCTAATCAATCACCCCTAGTATCCCAGTGATTTCTAATGCTCTTCTGAAGTTTTTGTTGTTGTCAGTAGGTAATCACACTACAAGCATGACAGTAAAATTTCGTAGAACCTGAGTTCTGGCTTATGATACAATGTAAGCTGTGAGATAAGTATGCAATGTTACAAAATCTTTGGGGTTGTTGAGAATACACTCTGGAATCATAAGATATTATTCTGTCAACTTTGTACTGATTGTGGTGAGAAGTACTTTTCCTATAAAGAATAAAAGTTTGGAGGTGTAGCATAAGTTGGATTGTTATGGCCTGGAGAGGTGAATTTGCCAGGTTATTTCAAAGTTATTTGTAGCACTAAATTTACAATTGAGTTTAAGTGTGTATACATTTCAAGTAAAATAGATGAGTATATTAAGAATACTAAGGGTAATCAAAAGCACAATGCAGAGTACACTTTCTTCCTTTGAAATCTAAAGTTGTAGCAAAATTTCTTCAGTTATTCTAGTAAAAATTCTTCAGATTTTATTTAGTTGGAAACATAATACCTGTTATAATGCCTGCAGCAGATAAATCTCTCTTCATAACTTCTCTTGCCATATTCCTTTACATTTGAAAGAAAAAATATTGTGTATTTTCTATGCTAAAGAGCTGTTCTAAAAGAAATGTTGGCTTACACTTAAAAAGCACATTCATTATACTTTCTTTTAGAAAGTTATACTTTAATGCAAAGGTTTTAATTGAATGTGGACCTTTGTATCCATTTTCAAATGGTTCTCTTATGCAAATCCATTTAAGTGAAAACTTTGTGTTGAACAGCCGCAGAATCAAGCTGATGGCTCAAACTACTGCAAAATTTATTATGATAAATCTTTCATTAAGGTTCTCTTATTTGAAAAGAATGAGGCTTTGGCTCAGGAAAATCCATGTATACTTTTCCTTTGCCTTTTTATGCAGTTGGATTTTTAATCAGCATGTTCATTTCAAATTAAATTATTTTCTGTTGGTTGCAGCATTTTTCATTTTCTCCACAGTATTTTACAAAGGGAAGTCTTCACCATACATACTCATTTTGAGAGTCAGTCTCTAGTTTGCATTTCTGCCTCTTTACAGATACTGTGTATGCCACAGTAATAAAATAGGTAATAGGCTCAAAATCTAAAATACCTCTTTAAAATTTTCATAGAATTTTTTAGGTTAGAAAAGACTTTTAAGATCATGAAGTCAAACCATTATCCCAAGTCCAAGTCCACTATTAACCCATGCCCATCCCTAAGTGTCCCATCTACACATCAAATTAACATTTCCAGAGGTAGTGACTCCATCACTTCTCTGGGCAGTCAGTTCCAGTGCCTGATCACTCTTTCTGTGAACAAATTTTTCCATGTATCTAATCTAAACCTCCTCTGGTGCAACTTGAGGCCATTTCCTCTTCTCCTGTTATTGTTACCTGGGAAAAGGGTCTGACCCCCACCTCATTACAACCTCCTTTCAGGTGTTTGCAGAGAGAGATAAGGGTCCTCCTTGAGTCTCAAATTCTCCATCCTAAGCAACCCCAGATGCCTTCTTCACTCATCACAAGACTGGAGATGTGGCCTCACCAGTGCCGAGTACAAGGCTACGGTCACTGCCCTGATTCTGCTGGCCACGCTATTGCTGATACAAGTCAGGATGCCATGGACCTTCTTGGCTACCTAGGTACATTCATTCTGTGTAGTTTTGTTTCTTTCTTGGTAGATTTTGTCAGCTAGGGGCACATATGTAATCATAATGACATCATTAAAAACCTCTGGCTCAGTAATTTGCAAATTGTACTTGTTTATGTGACTGTAGCATGCTTGCACAGTATCAGTGAATTTCAGAGTGTATTGTCAGTGATGCTGTTAAAAACAAGACGTTTAGGTGTTTTTCTTCCTATTTCCATGGGGATTTTTAATGTTTTGACTAAGTAAAATGTTCCCTGAATAACACCACCTTCTTGCATGCAACTTTTTAAGTACTCATTTCCTATGTGTATGTACCTGCTTGTTGAGCTCCAGTACATAGTTAATATCAGGACTATTTTAGCTATGATGCTGTGACCAGAAGCCTTCCAATAATTTGTCAGTATTGAAGCGTAAAGGAAATACACAACACAGACCTGTTTCTTTAGATGCTTTTTTTTTTTTTTTTTGATGACCATTGTATTTAGTGCATATCTTTTAAAACTGAAATAAATAACAGACATTGTCTAGACACATTGCCAGGGGCCAAACAGTTGTGTGTAAGACTGTCAATGGA